GTGGAGTGAGGAGAGGAGAGGAGAGTGGTGTGCAGTGAGGAGAGGAGAGGAGAGTGCAGTGTCTCGAGGAGAGGAGTGTGCAGTGTCTCGAGGAGAGGAGAGGAGTCTGCAGCATCTACTATTGGGAGAGAGTTGGCTGCAGTCCCAGCAGTGACGTCGGAGTCTAAGGGGCAATGTCTCTGCTCCACCCGGCGTCATCCCTCTAATATTGTTCTATTTTAGACCAGCGGCATTGTTACGCCCGGAGGAAACGACGGGAACTTTCCGAAACACTGAGAACTATTTGTATGGAGGAAACAGTCACTTGGAATCTTTGATTTGGAAAATAATTATTTTTGTCGTTTTCAGAAATCCAATTATTTGTTTTTTTGGCCGCTGTCGGCGAGCGAGCTGTTTCCTCGGCGTGCACGCTAGGTCGCCCTTGCAGTGAAACACACGAGAGATGATTTACGGATGGAAGCGATTATGTCCGTCATTATCTGCAGAATTCCGCCAGAATGTTTGGAAGATTTTTCTGAGCCGTCCAACTATGCGGGGAACTTGGAGCGTTCTCTGTGCTAGGAAACCGTAGACACAAATACGGCCGGCGGAGGCGGGATCATCAATATTATGTTATCATTCCACGCTGGGAAAGGAGCTGTATACCAGCGGGGGCCGAAACAGACCCAGCGCACCCCAAATCACACATACACTGTATTGCCAAAAGTATTGGGACCCCGCTCCAAATCATGTGATTCAGGTGTTCCAATCACCTCCATGGCCCCCGGTGTATAGGAAGAGGCACCTCGGCATGCAGACGCTTCTACAGACATTGGTGAGAGAACGGGTCGCTCTCAGGAGCTCAGTGACTACAAGCGTGGTGCCGTGATAGGTTGTCACCTGTGCAATAAGTCCGTTATGGGGGGAATAGGTAAGTCCAGGGACATTATCAGGGGTAAGGGATGATATAAGGGGGGATGGGGTGAGTCCATGCTTGGGATTTATACGTAAGATCTCGCTTTCTTTTTGTTATTATTCTTTATTTAATTAGAAGGAATCTGGGACGTTTGTTGATACTGCGGATTGACTGATAACAAATATAAAACATCCAGCAAGAATGTAGCGTGTTCAGACACTTTCTCTGCGACATTCCAGTGACAAGGTTTTCTTCCTTCCGCCTCTGATAAGGTGACCTGGGATAGAATCATCCTGCACCGAGTACAACCACAAAGCATGGGGGCTGCTGGGGGGGGGGTCATTATCTGCGGCAGATAACAAGCTATCTTATCTGTCAGCTGGAAAATAAATGCTCAACACAAATTCCAGAAAGAAGTAAATAAAACAAAAATGAAATGTTTTCCAGGGTGAAATGCGTCATCCTGATGCACTGGAGGGAAAGTGTGGTGGAGTTTTACTGAGCGCAACACTTGAATTTTTATTGCAGTGGTTACTATAAAGGCCTTTTTATATGACTCATGTATGATGACATACTTCTATTGTAATAAACTGAACCAGAACTCATCATGTTAAGATTTTCAATCTAATAGGGAACATCTGTTATTTGTGCCGAGGCAGTAGCCTGAAAAACGTGCCTTTTGTCTTGTATTTCCCAGATAAATAGCAAGGTACTTCCTGTGTCTAGGCTCTCCTTTTCTGTGCACTTCCTGTGCCTGGGCTCTCCTGTTCTGTGCACTTCCTGTGTCTAGGCTCTCCTTTTCTGTGCACTTCCCGTGCCTGGGCTCTCCTGTTCTGTGTACTTCCTGTGCCTAGGCTCTCCTGTTCTGTGCACTTTCTGTGCTAGGGATTCCTGTTCTGTGCATTTCCTGTGCTCCAAGTTCCCTGCATAGTTGGACGGCTCAGAAAATCTGTTCTGTGCACTTCCTGTGCCTAGGCTCTCTTGTTCTGTTCACTCCCTGTGCCTAGGAACTTCTGTTCTGTTCCCTCCCTGTGCCTAGGCTCTCTTATTCTGTTCACTCCCTGTGCCTAGGCTCTCTTATTCTGTTCACTTCCTGTGCCTAGGGACTCCTGTTCTGTCCACTTTATGTGCCTCATAATAGCCTTATAGCTGTATACCTGCAGTATGAGATCATCTAAGGCATTACTGCCTCTGACTGATAGTCTCACCAGATTTGGAGAGAGATTTGGTGATGTCACTACTGTGCTGCTCACTGTTCTCCTTGCTGGAAAGGAAGCTGTACCTGAGAACCTGAGGTGCAGGGACCTTCTTGCTTATTGCTGCACCCATTATGATCTGTGCTTCCTTCACCTCTCCTGCTGCTTCCTCATCATTGCCTGGTCCTGGAAAATCTATCTCTCAGGAAATAGCAGTTCACTGCCTCGGCACTCCCGTTTCCTGAGCCTCATAGCTGTATATTTGCAGCGTGAGATCATCTAAGGCACTGCTGCCTCAACCTGTGAGTCCCCCCGGATTTGGAGTGAGGTTTGATGATGTCACCACTGCGCTGCTCACTGTCCTCCGTGCTGGAGAGGAAGCTGTACCTGAGGACCCGCACTGCAAGAATCTCCCTGCTCCCGCTTCATGAATTCTGATTCTGGGCTTCCTCCATCTTGCCTGTTACTTATTCATCCTGACCCCACCAGCTATCAGGGGGAGCTCTGACATGATGAAATAAGGATTGCAGGATTGCAGTCTGGACATGGAGATATGGTGCAGAACAAGGAATGGTAACTCAGTTCTATAGACAAAACAGCTGACTAGTCCTTTGCCCTCTGATTGCCTTTTTGAGCACAATGTCCACAGTGCAGGTCCTCTTTTATTATAGAGGTTGATAAACCAACCACTAATCACTCTCAGTGACTCAGTGTAATTATGCTGATTCTCTCTTACTTGCTATTAGTTGCACAGGGAGGGCATGGTTTTCAGGGAGTCAACTGTCTCATAGACTTGCATTGTCAGAAGCAGCACAATCAGTAGCACTGCAATGCAGGAAGCAGCAGAGCTGCATGTAATGAACAGACATAACTTCTCCTATGCACATACAGTATACAGGGCCGGTGCTAAACTATTTTGCGCCCTAGGCAAGACCAGCTACTTGCACCCCCCAGCCCCCTCGCACGGCGCAACATTCTCCTGCCGGCTAGCTTCCGCAGGTGGATGTAAGCAGCTGGGAGCAATAGCCAGACTGCTGTTGGCAATTTTGATTTGAAATAGACAGGGGTTGCCACGGGGGGGAGGATTGAGTGGTCGAGGCTGCTCCCTAGGCAGCAGTGTGCCCTAGGTGGCTGCCTAGTGGCAGCAATGGCCCTGACAGTATATAATATGTAACAAGGCGTATAAAACAACAAATATTGATACAATTATTTATGTTAATCAGATTCACAAATAAATCATTTTGAAATTCCGGTTACCTGAAAAAAAGAGAGTGCACATTCACCCTTCCTGGTACCCTCTCAATCAAATGCCGATTTGTTCAGCACAAATGCTCACCTGCTGGGAAACTGAGACTTCCTGGAGTGTCAGGAGTCAGATAAAGAAAGCTTGTTGCACTCCTTACCGGAGATCCTCGTATTCGAGGGAAGGGTGCTCGGAATGACTGCGAGCATAAGAGAAACGTCACCAGCACACCAAATTCCTTAAAGGATCATCAATCGTAGATTTATTGGAAACTCATGTCAAATACACAAGCGCTTTCGGGGCCACGCAGGGTCCCTTCATCAGGCATAGCTATGCCAAATGCTGGTGACGTTTCTCTTTTTTTTTTCACTATTTCCTGGAGTGTCAGTCTCCTGAGTCCCCGACCCCTCTGACTGGGTCCTTCCAGCCACCTCCAAATTTCTACTGTATCCTGCAATGAATGGAGGAGACTCTTTTCTAGTACAAAATTTCAGCATGGCCAATTGTTTACTGCAGGCTGAAGCCATCCCTGTGGGGTCTATCAGTGCTCCTAGAAGAGTCCTTGGGGTGCAGTAACAGGTTTCACCTATAGGGGGTGCCACAGAATCTACAAGCATGGGGTGCTGCCCTGGAGGAGGAGAGGTGAAGGAGAGGGGCACCTTGTGGTGTTGCTACATGAAGGGGCAGCCAAACATTCGTTCCCATTCAATTTACTTAACACGCAAACCCTCTTTACCCTTTGCGTTAAATTAAACTAAAGCATCTTACCGTCATGCAGTCTTGAATGATTGAAAATGTCATTTGGAGCCCCGCCTTCACTCACTAATACAGGAAGCAGTACTTGCGGCCCCGTTGAGGGACTTGGACTAAGGAGGACAGATGCTGTTGTTGATTTCACGGTTCGCGAGAGAACATTTCCTTCTTTTTCCTCTTTGGGGGAATCAGTTCCAGTTTCCAGTGGAACCGAGCGCTCTGTGCTGTTTATTTCTGGATCTGATTTCAGAGTCTCTTCTGTGGCCGGGCTTTTTTCAATAGACGGGGTAGTGTTTGGTTGCTCTGTGGTTGCCAATGTTGAACTTGTTGGCTCATGAAGCTCCTGTTGTTGTGTTGGTTGCGCTGTAGTCTTGGGTAAAGCTTTAACGGTGGTGACTTTGGGTGTGTTTGGTGCCAGAGTGCTGGATCTCTGGGTGGTCTGGGCGTTAAGGGTGGTCCTCTCAGGCCGGGTAGAGAGATGCATCTCATAAGCTGTCGTTGTAAACTCTTCCGGCTTGGCTGGTAAACTCGGCGTTGGTGAAAGTTCGACATCAATGACTTCGTCAGCATTATCCTCATAGTCGGCCATGGAGTGGTCCTGGAGGGCATTTCTTTTGTAGTTATTGTTCCTTTCCATGACCTCGCTGTTGATGGGCTCCTCTTGTTCGTGACTGTAGGGGTAGTCGTATTGTCTCTCTGGGTCACTCTCCGTCGTGTCCATGAGTTGGGTGCTGTTGTCACTCTCGGAGCTGCAGTGGGGCAGGGGGTAGCACATCAAGTCTCCTCCAGTATTGGGACAGTGGCAAAACTTGCACTGGGACATGTGAAAAGTGTGCCCGGCCTCGTACTTCTCTCCCCCATGAATGCACCCGATTCGCCCGCACTGAATGCAGCCGTCTGATGGCTGAATGATGTCGATGCAATTCGGGGGCAGCTCGGGGCAAGGGATGAAGTGGCAACTAATCCTCCCACCACCCTGCGGGCAGGAACACTCAGTGCTTCCGAAATCCACAAAGTAGGAATCGCCTTCAGGCACCTTGCCATCTTTAAAGCCAACGTTCACGCAATCGTAGTACTGGTAGCCCTCACAGGTGCATCCAATCTGCGCGCATTTTGGGCAACAAGAGCCCTCCTCGAGTGCTTCTTCAATGCAGGATTCTAGAGGATCACACACGACGCCTTTGCAGTCTTTTTGAGCCAATGATGAGCCAACATACAAGAGCAGGACAGCAATGGTCAGATGTTCCATCTGTCGGATTCTAGATATCTTGGAGGCCATGATGAACTGTTGCTACCATCTGTACAATGACGAATGACTGGAACCAGCAAACGCCTGAGGAATACAGAAAAAGGTCCCAAAATGAAGCAGCTCTTAAATACTTGAAATGAAACAAAATATTAATCTCGCACAAACAATGTTAAAGACTCAGTCCACCCAAAGACGATACATCATGTTTGGTGGATACTGGAGAGTTTTATCACCTGACAGTCTCTTCTATCTCTATGGGACTCTGTTGGTGAGCTTTCTGGGCTGAATTCCCAGGTCTGCGCTCAATATGAGGGGTTTCCGCCATGTAGAATGCAACAGGAGGAGCTGAGACACACAAACATGGGAGGAGACACCCTAAACTCCTGGGTGGCGAGGAACGGATTTGGGAATTATGCAGAGAGACCTCGCTGTTGGAGCATTCATGGGCAGAACGGGGGAGGGGCAAGACTGGTACAAGACAACAGAAGGGCAACAGTGCCGTGTCAGATTCCTCGCATCACCTTTCAACATCTCGTGGAGTCACGAGGCGGCCCAAGGAAGTACTGATGGGGGAGGGGTCATAATAATCTGCCCACTCAGTGTATAGGAAACCAAGGGCTGAGTCAGTCCACCACTCGCCACCTATGACCAAAATATCACTTTCGGATGGGATGACTCGCTAAATACCCCAATACTAGTCAATTTGTAGCCCAGCTTCAAATTCATAATAGATCAAATGATTGTGGTCGATCAAACTCGAAGTGGAAGATTGCTTGGATTGTATTTACAATTTCTTGGTGACATAAAAGTGGCTGAAATTGAGTGAAAAATAGCTCTTAGCTCCTCCCACTTATAATGGCCATTGAGAAAGGTTCTGACTCTCCCTGTTGGACTTCTCTCTACTTTTGTATTGCACAGTGTGCAGGAGAAATTCACCTTGACATAAAGTTGGTGGTGGAGCAGCACCAGGTTAACCAGCAAACTCTAACTGGGGAGCCCAGGGGAGAACCAGCAAGCTCTAACTGGGGAGCCCAGGGGAGAACCAGCAAGCTCTAATTGGGAAGCCCAGGGGAGAACCAGCAAGCTCTAACTGGGGAGCCCAGGGGAGAACCAGCAAGCTCTAATTGGGAAGCCCAGGGGAGAACCAGCAAGCTCTAATTGGGGAGAGAAATACGTAGCCAGTGGGTGAGCCATCCCCCAGCTTCCTTCCATGGCTGATATATCAATTCTGGGTTGAGTGACCCTTTAAAGCAAGTCTGCACTAAGAATGAATGGAGTCTACAACTGCTGACCTCTCCTAAATGTACTACTACCCAGAACAAAAGCTTCTGTGCTTTCTATCTCACTGACTCAGAAGAGGTCAGCAAATTCATTTATTACAGGTATAGTGCTGATGATCTATGCAGCGCTTTTACATAGTGTACATTGTCACCAGTCCCTGCCCTTAGGTATCTAAGGTCCCTATTGCACATGCATACATACAGGGCCAATTTACCTAGCAGCATGTCTGTGGAGTGTGGGAGGAAAGCCAGGCAAGCACAGGGAGCATATGCAAACTCCTTGTAGATAGTGACCTGGCTGGGATTTGAACCAGGGACCCCCAGTGCTGCAAGGCAGAAGTGCTAACCACTGCGCCGCTGTGCTGCCCAAATTAGGAGCTCTGATTTTCCTCTAACTCTCCTTTACCTTTCCATTTTCAAAAGAAGGTCAGTAATGGTACCCCAGTATCTCTCTCACTGCAGGATTCATTAGATGCCCTATTCTACACCCAGAGATTTTCACTGGATCTCTGTGAATCTCTATGCAATGCCGACTGGCAGGAGGGGTGCTGCAGCTTCTAATGCACATTGTGAGAAGCACACAGTGTGCAGTAAAATCATAGGAAGCCATTTCAGCCCAGGAGAGGTACAACTGTGCGAGGACGAAGGTCAGCTTTAAAGTATATCTAAGTCAAAACTTTTTTTTCTTTTTTGGTTAGGAAAGGGTTAACACCCCTGTCATTTTTTTATGCCACCTGTGTCCCATTAAGAAGATTTGACTTCACTTCCTGCCCTGTAGACACAACAGGAAGTTAGAGGAAATCTCTGCAGGGTGAAAGAAACACCCTCTTAGGCTAAGTTCAGATTTGAGCAAACCTGAGAAGTAACGCACGATTGTGTTCGGGTGCACACATCGGTTACGGTGCGGCAATCACTGAAAAAAATAAAAAATGTACCTTTTTTTGCGACACGCAATGCGCAGCTTTTTTCTAGCCGTGTTCCATTTCAACTGTGGAATTGCGGCGGGAAACAGCGCGACCTGCCCAGCAGGACTGGGGTGCCATTAGAAAATAATGGCACCGCCAGCATGATTGGCTGTGGTGGGCGACTCCGTGACCGCTTGGCAATAGACTTGTGCGCCGTCAAAAATGTTAACGGAATATCCGTTATTTCGTAATTCGTGTCCGAAACTCAATTCGGATTGGTACGAAATACGGATTTTCGTTAGTTTCGGCACATTTTCGTAACTTTACGAACATTCGTTATGATGAAGTTAAAAAGCAAAAATACCTTTGTTAATATTGGAGTCGATGTGGTAGTTGTTGTTTTTTATCCGAAATACGAATTCCGTTAACGGATTCCGGATCCGAATTTCGTATTTCGTATTAAAAAAACCCCATCAACTCCAATATAAATGTACTTTGCTTTTTAACTTCAATATAACGAATGTTCGTAACGGAACGAAAATACGTCAACGGAATTTCGTATTTCCTGCCTGTGTATTGTAATGCGACTCTCAGCAGCAGCGGATCCGTATTTCGTATTTCGGATTAAAAAAAAAATCTTGTCATGTTGTTCAACCTCATTACAGGGGTAATATTAGTTCCCGTTTCAAAGAAATTCGGATCTGAAATTCGTTAACGGAATTTCCTATTTCGGATATAATTCGGAAACTGCCATTCGGATTTCGGATGCTTCCGAATTTACGAATTTCAGGAAAATTCGTACGAATTTCGATTTGTAACGAAACGAATCGCACATGTCTACTTGGCAATCCCTGCGGTTTCGTGCACGATTGCCGCGATGTCACGGACTCGACAACAGTCACCAGAGAGAGTGAAACTCCCCAGCAGAGTAACAGACTGTTATAAACACCCGAAAGGGGCTCTAATCCTTTGCCACTCCAAAATGAAAAAAAAAGGTTTCTGCTTTAGATACAGTTTATCATTGCGCATTGTCCTCTGATATAACTTTATTATTCACCAATTCTATTTCACATGAAAACAGCAAACATCATTTTAGAAAATTACCCCGAGCAGTGTGTGTGCGGTCTTAGAGAAAAATATCCGATAAAGTTATCCATTTCATGAGTTTAAAATGTTTCTCAGATTGAACCACTTTGTATCAATGTCAACACAAGTCCAATCCTTATTAAAGGAGAACTATGAGGTTAAGTCTTTTCCCCATAGTTCTCCTTAGGGTAACGGGAGGACACAAACTAGCATCCTCCCATCACCCTAAGCTCAGTATATAGGGAGCTACAGCTCGCGGTATACTGAGACGCCGCAGCCGGAGCGGATCCCGACATCGATGTCGAGATCCGCCCAGCTGCGTGACTGACAGCTGGCTCTGCCTATCTAGAGGCAGAGCCAGCTGTACCCGCCCCCTCCCCCGTCCATTACGCCAGTCAGCGCTGGCAGATCGGAGCAGGGAGAGGGGAATCCAGCCCCTCCCCTGTCACGGCAGAGAGTCGTGACAGGATCGAGAGGTCAGCGAACGCCGGTATGCGTTCGCTCACCTCCCGATCTACTGAGCCGAGCCGGGACAGTCTCATTGTCACAGGTCGGCTAGAACTATGAGGTGAGTGGAAATCACTCACCTCATAGTTCTCCTTTAAATATAATACAAAGTTTGGGTGTCACCCCATGGGAGCCAGACACTGATGACAACTTACTGTGAGTAAATCTCGAAGAAAGAACAATTCAAATCCCTGGACACCAATATTCACATTGGCTCGAAAATCACTTAAAGTGACACATGATAAATCTTAAAAATACATTCAAGTATCTTAACTATTACCAATATGTACGTGTATGATGATACTGAAGATCCCTTTTTACCTGGAGTAGAACTTTCTGCAGAAAAGGAAGGAAGTCTGTCAGCCGTTTTATTGCTCCGTATTTAAAGTGACACTAAACTCAGTAATTAAAACGTAAAAATAAATTCAAGTCCCTGAACTCTGAACAACAATGTATGTTATTTGTGTATCACTCGGCTGTAGATCCTTCAATCATCTCTGAATTGGTGCCGACACTGTCCTTCCTTCTAGAGGGGGGCTACGTCTGTTCCCCATGGTCCCTGTGTGTGTTGTAGAGTAGTCACCGCTCCAAGCTCCCCCCCCTGGGATGGACTACAATCTCATGTTTACTTTACTAATTTGTTTTGAGACTGTAGTCCACAGGGCCGGTGCTAGGATTGTAGTCAAGGTGGGCAAGGTTCAATTTTGCGCCCCCCCCGATCCCAACCCCCACCCCCTGTAAAAACAGGGCATTTTGACAAGTATTGTACTTGTCAAAATGCCCCGATGTTTGCGCAATGGTTTTTTTTTTTTCCACTTACAGCGGCAAGTCAGCGCTAGTCCGGTGGGAGGAGCTCCAGGTGGGGTCCTAATTCAGCTGGCCGGCGACTGCCTGAGGTGCCTCGCGTGTCGGGAAAAAACATAGCGCAAACATCGGGGTATTTTGACAAGTACAAGTACTTGTCAAAATGCCCTGTTTTTTCCGCCCTCACCCTGGAGCGCCCTCAGGCGGCCGCCTGACTTGCCTTGCGGAAGCGCCGGGCCTGGGTGCAACATGGAGTTTCACAGGATATTTGCATATATTTTTTTTTAACATG